ACCGGCGCCGGACGAGAAGTCCACGGAGCGCGGCCGCGCCGGCGCCGGCGGCAGCCGAGACTCCGAGCGGCGCGCCGCCCGCTGCAGGTTCACGCGCGTGAACTCGCGCTGGTGGAGGGGCTCAGAGAGCCGCGCCGGGCCGGCCGCCGCCAGCGCCGCCAGCAGCGACAGACACACCGCCGCCGCCGCCGCCGCCGACCAGGACATGGCGAGCAGGAGCGCGCGCCGCCGCCGCCCGGACCCAACTGACACGGCGGGACCCACTCTCCCAGCGCGCCGGCCGACACCGAAAGCGGCCGCCCACCACACCGGCGGCCGGCGGCGCAGCGAGCGTGGACGTCCAGTCAGCCGCGACCGAGTGTGACTTTATCCATCACGCCCAGACACGCGGCAAACGACACTTTCCGTTTCACCACAGCTCCAAAGGCGATCGTGATACTCTCATATAACGTAATGTCGAAGGCATTACGTACAGCCCACCGCTAAAGTAATGTAGGGTTTTACCAATCTCAACGGTTGGCTTTGAATGGCGATTGTTTAATGCGGAGTGATCGAAAAGAAGATGTCAATAGCTAAAGTTGCAGCTGCAAGGGTGACGATACATATAAGCTACATTCAAAGTTTCATTGTAGTCTGGCTAATCGTTCCTAAGCTTCAGAAGCAGAACATACCCATAACTGAAACCACACATTACTTCTGCTGTGGACTGGGCTGTACGCCGACGGTAGTCGAACAGGAATTGAATAGATTTCGACATGTTTACGAATAACTCATTTCCCAGTAGCACGAGGGAGTCCTATGAACTGACGGACACAAGTTTCCGCACATTGACAGCCTGCACAGCGCCTTTTCGTCTCCGTAAGCAGAAGATGCCAAGCTGTAGAGATCTCCTATACGGATACCATGCAGAGATATATCAGATCCTAACGGCTGACAGGCTAACGTCTGACTATGGAGCGGGAGAGACCCAATGTATGGCCGGAAAAGCCGCTCTGGCCACGGCACGCCGGTCACCGCTGCACAGCGTGGGTTCGTCGGAACTCGCTAATGTGAGGGAGATCCACTGCCTGTGTGGCCGGAGAGGTCGTTCCGGCCATGGGCGGCGCAGAGCGTGGGTACAGTGGAACACGCTGCTGTGGAGACCCGCCGGCGGCCGTGACAGCCGCGGGCTGCGGGCCACAGAAACAGCAGCGGCAGTGAGCCAAGCAGCGAGTCCCCGCGGACGATTCATAACACCCTGGACGGGCCCCGGCCACCGGACAAGGGCGCGCCGCCGCGGCCGCCGCCGCAGCAGTTTCCCCGCCAGCTGCACCGGCGAATTACACTGTCACCAGACATGACGCATCTGGCGCCTCCCATTAACTGCCGCTGCTAGGAGAAATCGCAGCGAGTGTTCCACGTTTATGATAGATAAGTATCCGGTACAGTGGACGCTTGGCACTGAATCAATAGAACAAACTGATGAATACACCCACCTAGGAATCATTATGACAACCAGAAGTTCAGCAAAGAGAAGGATAGAAGAATGCATGAAGAAAGCAAGAAGAACATTTTTTGCTAAGTGTAAGAAAGGAATCAACCTCAAAATGGACAATCCGATGTCACACTATACAACGTGGAGAATATATGCTGAACCGGTTCTAATTTACAGCCTAGCAGTTACATCCCTTTCACCAACAGATATCATGTACTTGGAAGGGATGCTCATGCGCATTTACCGTCTCATCCAAGGTTTACCAACCAAAACGCAAAAAATGGTGACATATGTGATGTTGGGTGCACCGACATGCACAAGCCTCGTAATGAGAACCGCACTCCAATTCATAGGTTTCCTTCTGAGAGCTGCGAAGGAACACACTCTAACCAGATATATCATCACCCATGGAGCAGTCAATGCTGATCGAACCACGAGTCTTGTGCGCCAATGGGACACATTGCTCCAACATCTGAACTTACCAAGCCTCTCTATTCTGGCTAATCAAAAAATAGACCAACCGCGGACAGCATGGAACAAGTTAGCATCTGCATCAGTGGATCAAAGTATGACAAAAATCATCAGGAACACAGCAGAGAATATGACAAGTTTGTTTTGGCTTTCGCTACTGCCACAAACCGAAAAGTACGAGGCGCCGAAAACATTTTGGCCGGCAAGCAAGTACAGCGCAATTACCAGACAAGCGACACTAACCAAAATTGTCCTACTAACGGGCCACTCTTTGGTGGCCACAAGCATGGTTAGAAGGCACAAAGAAACTGTTGTCTGTCCATTGTGTCGTAATGCCATTGAAACTCTGGAACACATGCTCTTTGAATGTGACAAACTGAAAGACGATAGAGTAGCTGCTCAAAAAATATACAAAACTATCTTGAACAGAACGCTACCAGCAGCAGAACTTATCATCATCGCCGATAAGCCACAAAGCTTGATCATCCATTATATCTACCAAGCTCGTGTGCGCAAGGAACTCACTGAGAATATAACCAAGAAGAGTAACTGTTAAAGAGTCCTCCCAACTATGATGTCCTGAAAATTTATATCATCCAGACAGCTAACATAATTGGAAGACGATCAGAAATGATCCTGCATCTACTAGATGGAGTCGACGAAATAAGTCTAAGTAAGTCTAAGCTGATTAGGAAAGCTAACAGAACCATGCGGAAAGTTTCTCACATTGATGTGGCGATACGCATGGCGTGCTCGGAACTTTCGTTAGACAAACCGACCCGACCACCGCACAGTGGCCCTTTTTCAGAATTAGCACGCATTAATTCCCACATTACCTGAAAGTGGTGCAAGACATCACCACGTGATCAAGGAAGTATTCCCTGCCAATGCAAAGAGAAGAAAAGAAACAAACTGCCCAAGGAGATTCGGCCCAACAGCGAAAGGCCGCTCGGCCCAAGATTTGGCGCACGTTCGCACGGCTCGCCCGCCGGCCCAGGCCGCTCCGAACGCGAGTGTGGCGAGCCCGCCAGCCGACCGCGCTGCACTTGCACTGACCGCCAGGACGCCCCAGGGCGTCACGTGACCACATCTACAGCTGTTGCCAGCCACCGTTAGTCGGCCCCGGCTGGGCAGCAACTAAGGTCAGCGCGACGCGAACAATACAAACACATAGGCGCTTTTGACGTTAGATCTTAAGCCGACCACGGGACTTGTGCGGCTTGGACATCAAACGCGACAAGAAATCGGACAGTTTTTCTTGGGCACAGCGTTATGCCTACATGACATTTCAATTAGCACATCTTATGGCAAAAGTCAAGCCACATTTAGGCGCACACCAGGTGACACCAGCTTCGAGCCAGGTCAATGAGCTTAGTCGTATCGAACAGGAGCCACAGCCGCTCGCGGACTGAACTGGCTCACGTTATCCACCGTAGAAGCAAAATGGCGCAAAATGGCGCGATGCCCTTTGGTGGACATGGTCAGAAGAGATCGGCGATTCGAACGATGTATAATACGACATGTTCCAGAGTGTGCTACTTAACATAAAGCTTCATATGTATGCCGTCATCTCCAGTTAATAATTGTCCTGTTATTGTGTCCACAATATTCGGCAAAAGTGGTCTATTTAAGTTTATACAATGAAAATAGTGGTTTCTAGGGCTTCTACGTAAACTCAACTTCACAGCCATGCCACTGAGTTTTAATATTTTCTCATCGAAAGTCTTACAAATTGATGTTCATCTCACCCTACTTTTTGGGGTCCGCCGGTGGTGTCCGCGCGCCTCTCGACAAACTTCGATTTTGCGGTCAGTTTTACCAAAGGTAATTATTTTTTAGGAGGTAAAAATGGCACCATAGGATAGTTTGGAATGTTTTGCACACGATAAGACTGCTTTTTACTCAAAAGAAGAGAAAAAATATTTTGAATTTATGCGTGCTAATTCTGAAAAAGGGCCACTGTGCACCGGTCAGACTAACACCGTTCCGTGCTTCTATCCTCAGGATACTGAAATCCTTCTCCTCCACGCCGCAACCCCCCTCCGGGCTGGACAGGCAACTTTATCTCATGCGGGCTGCTCCCTTGGAGCGGCACCGCTGCTCCTGAGGGAGCGCACCCCGTAGCCGGGTGCAGTGAGTGCCTTGGGGCTGGGTGGCCTGTCCTCTGGACGGGCTCAGCCCCGGCGACTCACTAGGGTGCCTGCCCAGACCAATGTCTCCCCCTAATTCCTATCATCCTTCCGGCTCTGCAATGGTCTTGTCAGACCGAAAGGGCCTAACCCAACAAAACAAGGTCAGTCTAAGCACTATCATTATACACTCCACCAGATCATAGATGAAAAGGAATTAATATTGGGCATTTACTTCGGATTTTCACTAATCAACTAATGTAACTCTTTACAGCGCAATAAGGACAATCGTCTAGTGTTCCTCAATGCGAACCTTCAGTTTGCCTGAAGCCTGAAGGACTGAAGGTTTAAAAAATATTGTGTCTTGAAATGAAATGACAATGTGCTTAAAATACCAGTGACCAAACGCCATCGGTGTAAATACGAAAGAAAAGTTAGTCATATCCCTTCTGATCGACGTTTCAAAAAACGGAGCATGACTTTGAAACGTTTTCCACATGCAGTTATTGCACCAGAACCGCACTTATACTGGGCTGGGCTATTGCACAAACCAATCGCTGTCAATGACTAAGGAAACCATTTCGGTAGTGACTCGACATCCCGGCAGCAGCAACACTTCTGATAGACCTTTCACCTAACGGCGACTTTCTTCGGAGTGAGAGAGGAAACATTTCAAAACTGATCAACCAAAGCGTAGGCGGGTCACTGTCACTTTCGCCAGTTCACGGAGTCATTTAGAAGGCGTATCGAGTGCCTGAAACATTGCATATAGCCCAAACGAATGCGAATAAATATAAATTGATAAATGTAATTTAAAACACCATTCATAATCAAGTGTCATCCCTGGAAGTTTCTTTGGAAGCGGCGATGTCTACCAGTCGCGGTGCCCGGAGTCTCGGGGGGGGGGGGGGGAGTCCGGTACTCACCAGTCGCGGTGCTCGTTGATGGGGTGGAGGCCGCTCTCTGCCGCGAGCCGCGGCGGCCACTCGCCGTCGGCGACTTGGCTGGAGCACGGGGGAGGGACGGACGGGTGGTTAAAGACACAGCGAGCCGCGCAGGGGACCGGCGAGAGGCGACTGTACCTTGTCACCCGGGTATCCCACTGACCGGGGCTGGGAGGGGGCCGGGCCGGTCAGAGACGCGGCGAGCCCCACAGGCGACCGGCCCGAGGCCACTAGTGGGGCATCACATCAGGGTGACCTGAGCTGGACGGGGTCTTTAGTAAGCACGTTCGTCCAAGAAGTGAAAGCCCCACGTGTGGTTAGAGCTAGAATCGGAGGGGACGGGGGATCGTCATGATCGGTCTCTTATGCTGACCCCTGTTCGAGCTCACCTTCCTCTTTATGCACCGTTTGGGTGAGTGAAGCCTCCACTTGTGCAACGGTAAGAAGCGATTTACAATGAAACCTCTCATAGTGTCCTCAGAGGTTTCCAGTCGCACCGCGAGCGACCCGGTCCGACCTTTGACCCGGTCAAAGGTCGGACTCCGACTGGCACCTGCCTACCCTCCCGGCTTACCTGCCGATCCGGCCGCCGATGGGCCCGGCGTGCTCGGGCTGCCGGCCGCCGGGGAGCCGCCGCCCGACCTGTCCGCCTTGGAGCCCCGCTGCAGCCTGGCGCGTTTGCCTTTGGCGGGCGTCCTCCTGGCGGGGGCGGCCGTCCCGGCCTCCGGCGCCGGCTCGGCGTCCTCCGGCGCTCCGCTCGAGTCGCCGTTGGTTGTCGCCGCCCCGGCCTCCGCAGCGCCGGCGGGCTCCGCGGCAGCTGACAGGTCCGTGGCCGGCCCGGGCGCGATGGTGACCGCCTTCTTCGCTGCGCCCTTCTTACGGCGAGACAGTGACGACTTGGAGCCTGCGACCAGACGATAGACGTGAGCTGACTGACAACCTGATGTTATTGGAAGTCTGCACGTCAGTCAGTCTCGCGAGAAAAAAAAAACTATAATCGAATGATAAAACAGGATCAGAGAAAGGCAATCAATTTAAAATATGACTGTAAACATTGACGGCTCATCTGTCCTGTGTTACTGCTCAGTTTCGTTCACTAGCCTGATATGCATTGTAAATCCCCGAAGCGCAGGTACTGGGTATACCTCTGCCCCGCCTGCCGCCCCCTCACTGACCGGCGCGGCGCGTTCTCGACGTGTCGCCAGAGGCGGTGTCGGCAGCCGCGTCACTGGCGCTCGTCTCAAAGTTGGCCAGCCGGCGTCCGCCGGCGGGCCCGGCCGCCCGGCGCCGGCCCGTCACCAGGTTATCTGCGGCACACACACAGACAGACATGCCGACCACCGCGGATAGGGAGCCGATATAGAAAAGTTGCATGCCTATTTATAGCGAAATATAACACAAAGACGACCCCGTCCCCCAACAGTCCGACTGAGACTGATTCCCCCACTGACTGAGATTGAATCCACCCACTATGACTAAAAAAGGCTAGATCCCCGACTGACTGAGACTGAACTCTCCTCCCCCGACTCCACTAACCGAGACTGAGGTGCCGGGAGGGCGACCCGACGGCCAGCTGTCCCAGGCTGGGCTGGCGCCGCTCGCGCACCAGGGCCGCCTGGTCCATGGTCAGCGACAGCCACGAGCGGGGTACGGCGCTCATCACGCTCGGCTGAGAGTCCAGCGAGACGATGTACTCGAGCGGCTCGGCGCCCGAAGACCTGCGGCACCGACAGGGGTCACACACGCGGTCCGCAGGCACACAGGGTCCGGTCACACACGGTCCGGAGGCACACAGGGTCCGGTCACACACGGATCCGGCGGCACACTCAGAGGTCACTCCAGAGGTGCCGTGGCACACGGGTCCGGTCACACACAGAGGTCACTAGCGGAGCGCGACACACACAGACAGGCGGTCACTACCTCAGACCGAGGGCCGGACCACCGTCAGTGGCAACAGCGCGACGACAGCGCCGTATCGCTGGCACGCAATACGAGTGACTGGCAATAACGAGCACGCGTTACTGCCAGTCACTCTGAGCTAATGGTACCATGCCCCTGGGGAATAACGCCTATCTGACCGGAAGCCAGTGTGGTCGCCCCGGCCTTCCCGTTCCGTCCGACTGAGTCGCCACCCTGTGGGCGCCATGAACGTCCCTCCCCCCCCCCCCCCGGTCGGCTCGCTCACATGCGGTGTCCGGTGATGAGGCCCGCCTCGTAGACGTTGCGCTGGTTCTGCACGAACACGGACAGGCCCTTCCACAGGTTGGTGACAGGCAGCACGTGGTCGGCCGGCACGTGTCGCTCCGAGCCGTCGTCGAACCGTACCAGCCAGCGGTCGGCGCGCGCCTCGGACACCAGTCGGCCCGGGTAGTAGGTGCGGTCGGCCCACAGCCCGAAACACGGCATGTCTGCGCGCAGGAGCGGGTCAGATTTCACAGCGGTCCGGGACAGCAGCAGTCACACACACGGCCACCGGCTGACGATGTGACTGAGATACTGAGATAATGGATTACCACCAGCTCAGTGGTGGAAGCAAGAGCGCGCTCTACCCCGGAGACCAGTGAAGTTACCCGGCTGTACCCCGCCGTCGGTTCGCGCCGGCCGCCGCTGACTCACCGGGCTCCAGTGTCCTGTGCGCCAGCTCACTCTGCTCGTGCTCGCTCAGTTGTTCCTCCTCCTGGTCGGTGAGCGGGCGGACCGGCAGCGCCGGCTGCAGCGCCACCTCGGGACTCGGTGTCGAGCCGGTCACATGACTGGCGCTCGAGCTCTGCGAGGCGGCCGAGCGCTCCGCCTGCGTGGAGGTGGCCGCCGGCGGGCTGACCAGGCCCGGCGGCAGCTGCGAGCCCACCGACTCCTCCAGGTCCGTGCGCAGCGAGGAGACGGCCGCCGGCTGGCCATGAGGCCGCGGCGGCCGGCCGCCCGGAGACGTGAACTCCGGCACCGTGGCCAGCCGCGGCACGGCTACCGGACAGCGGACACAGCGCCCCGCTCAGGTAAGTACGGAGACACAGACAAAATGGTGGTAACAGTGAAACATGCAGCGGTGTCATGTTTGCGATCGCTGTTGCACTATTCATAGCTTAGTGATACTCTGCCGCTGGAGTGCCAATCAGTCATGATCATAAATCAAAGAACGTGTCATGATTCGTGCATAATTTACCTTCACTCCACCTCATCCATAAAAGACTTCCCAGCACTTTTCCTGACAGCCTTATCAGAAAGCAGGAGCCCACTGCGCACTGCAGCGAGAAGCCCGGGAGGGACGGCAAAGCCAAAGCGGTGAGAGGCGCGGGTGGGAGGAAGAACGGTGGGAGGCCCGGGAGGGAGGCCAAAGCCCACGCGGTGAGAGGCGCGGGTGGGGGGTGGGTGGGTGGGTGGGTGGGGGGCAAACTCACGCGGTGAGAGGCCCGGGTAGGAGGGCGAACTCACGCGGTGAGAGGCCCGGGTGGGGGGCGAACTCACGCGGTGAGAGGACCTGCACCTCGCCGTCGCTGCCCGGTGAGCAGGGCTGGACGGACATCACGGAGCGGCGGCCGGCCAGCGGCAGCGCGTCCAATGACGAGGAGACCGAGAGCCGCCCGCCGCGGCCGTCGATGGTCGACAGCGTCACCGACGTCAGCGTCGACTGGCTATCGACAGACAGACGGACACACAGTGGCGTCACACGGCACAGTGGTGTCACCGCGCCCGCCAGACCGCTGGTGAGACTGGCAGTACAGGTAACTAAGCAGAAGCACGACTAGTTAGTGCACCATACTAACATGCAACAGCACACTATCGGCTATTTAAAGTCCGCATGGCGATTGGCGAGTTGCGCTTTTTAATAATAATCATACATTAAATAGCTTTACCCCCGCCAGCCACCGGACGCATAATGTTTATTTCTTTGGTTATTCAAATACACAATTAAAAAACAGAGCTTATTGTCGTTTTTTATATATATCTGTCATGGATAACACACAATTATTTCTTTGGATTTAAACCTCCCGGGGCCGCCCACAATACCTAACCCAGTCAACCAACCCAACGGTGTCCCAAAATGGTATTTTGGCTTGGGTGTCGGAGGGGAAACATCCTCACCAAATAGGAAAATGAGTGGAAAAGTGCCGGCCAGATAAGGCCCAAAATAGTGAAAAAGGTCAACAGCCTACATTTCTATGCATGTGTAGTAGAATGTGTGATGCAAAAGGACCATCCACTCGAATATTAGGTAATCATAAGAATTAGGAGTGGAAAATCGATCTAAAAAAAAAAAATGAAGTAGAGAGTGAACAATGATTTTCATTTGGATTTCATTTCCCATCCAAATTGACAAATTTTGGGACACTGCAACCCAATTTGCTATAGCGGTCAGGTTGAGTCTATTCCGGGGTCGGATCTTAGGGCTGAAACAGACTTTCCGCATTCAGGAAATCGCATGCGAGAGCCTATTCAAATACATTATAATTCTGCCCGCATCAATCGCATGCGGGAGGTGCGTCCGATTGATGCGAGCGTGCTTCCATGTAATTAAATTGGCTCTCGCATGCGATTTCCTGACTGAGGAAAGAGACTGTCTTAGGCTTTACCGTTTGTTGTTGTATCAGCTCACCGTTTGTTGCAGCTGGAGTTGGAGTCGCCGCTCGACTTGGAGGACACGTCCGCCGCGTGGCCGCCACAGGTGGACGTGCTCCTCAGACTGCTCGATGATGTTGAGGACAGCAGCTGGGACGAGGCCATGCGGCGCAGCAGCTCGGCGCCGTCGTGCTCGTCAAGAGGAAACGTCTGCTTTACCTCCTGCGGTCGAACGGGCGGCCGGTTGGTCGGGCAGACGGATGGACAAATGGAAGATTACCAGAATATTGTGAACAAACCAGTGGGTGTCCAAAAAGGAACATTTTCATCGTTTTCTACTACAACCTAACAGCGAGAGGGAAAGTACGTCGGTAGTTGATGTTTTAAGCTATTTTGAGAAAATGTTGACGGAACGCTAGAGTAATTGCAATCGGCTGGATCCGCAGTGGGGGTGAACTTTGCATCGCACGTCACTACATCACAGCTCAATGATGAGTATATAGCAGCCACTGCGGCAGGCGGCCGAGCGGCAGTCCAGGCGGCCGAGCGGCAGTCCCGGCGGTCGTGGTATCTCACCTGGTCCCCCTTGCGCCAGCTCCAGCTCCAGGTGAGTTCCGCCAGCGAGTAGCCCTCCTCGGTCAGTCGCTTCTTCTCGGCCAGAATGTTCTGGCGGCAGACGGCGGCGGTCAGACGCGCTCCGGCAGAGCCGCGCCGCGGTCCGACACGACGGCCGGCCACCCGAGAGGGCGGGACCGGCGGGCGCCGCTACCGGCCACCCGGGAGGGCGGGCGCCGCTACCGACCACCCGAGAGGGCGGGCGCCGCTACCGACCACCCGAGAGGGCGTGACCGGCGGGCGCCGCTACCGGCCACCCGAGAGGGCGGGCGCCGCTACCGGCCACAGGTTGGTGGCACCGACCCCCTGACTCGGGTAAGTGGCACACCCCGAAGACACATGACTGAGTATTCACAAAACTTTACGGTTACTACGTCGACGTGTAATCCAAACATGGCTAGAAGATGTTTGATCGCAAGTTATGTGTAAGCCTCACTTCCACACCACATTCGCTAACACGCTCCATGGATCAATAATACACTCATTCAACCCCATTGCATACGGTTCATGCTAGCAGTGTTCAGTTCATTCAGCCGACACCTCACCCCTGTTTCACGGCACGCTGCTAGTGGCTACCAGTGTTTTGGCGTTTTCGGTTTCCATGGAGACATCATAAAACTCGGACGACCCATTATCGGCTGACGTCATCAGTTTAGTTGTTAAAGTTGCCGCTATCGGGGGCTAATGGAAGGCCGTGCCTGGGCCTTGGCTGGGCCCCAGTCGCATAACATCATACGTATGACCACAAACAATGATGTCAACTCGGGAAAAGCGCTATTGGTGGCTAGCAGCGTGCCATAAAACGCGACCGTCGTCAAAGGGACAGGCTATCATGCATAGCAATTAGCAAATCAATACACTGAAATTGAAGTCACAAGCTATGCCCAGGGGTGGGGTGGGGGGGGGGGGGAGGGAGGGTAACAGTTCGGCCGGGTTGGAGGGTTCGACCGAGGCGCAATTATAGGGATAATCCTCTTGAGGTATAGAGAAAGTCGTAGGCATAGGAAAGGACCATCACAGTATTCACAATTCGGCCAGGTGGAGGGAGGACCATCACAGTTCGGCCCGGGTGGAGGTAGAACCATCAAAGTTCGACCGGGGCTGGAGGGAGGACCATCACAGTTCGACCGGGGCTGGAGGGAGGACCATCACAGTTCGGCCCGGGTGTGAGGTGCAGGGAGACTCGTCACGGTTCGGTCGGGGTAGGATGACCATTAAGGTCCGGCCGAGGGTGCCGGACCGGCCGCCGGCAGTGTGCGGCGTGCACAGTGAACGATGACGTCACTACCATCGGTGCAGGTGCAAATCTCCAGCGGGTTCGTGCGAGGAACTAAAGATCGATTCCAATTTTCCACTTCAACTTTGGATATGCAGCTAAGGACGATGATGGCTAGCAAGGGCTATGGAATGAAGTAGCTCCGCTTATGATAAACGCGATAAATATCAAATCAATAGAAATGATGCAAACATACCGTAAATGTGTCCACTAGGTAGGTAAATAGTAGCGGCGGAACACTTCAATTAAGGGAGGGGGGGGGGGGCACTGCCGACTTTTGGTCCCATTCTTTCCATGCAACGCCCATTAGGGCTAATGTTAAAATGCCAAAATCAAAGGAGGGCACGGTGCCCTGGTGCCCTCCCCGTTCCGCCGTCTATGGTAAATACGATAAGCGAGCTGGTTTCCAAGCACATGGAAGTTAGAGAGCCAGACATGCGAAGAACCCAGAGTTGGAATTAAAAATCCTGAATCCAAGAGGAAACTCCCGGAGTCCGACACCGCAGAACAACAAGCCATGCTCCTTGCTCAATCGATACGTAGCACATGTGCGCAGTGTTCTGCCTACCGCCACGAGTCTCTGAAACGAGCTGTCGGTCGAATCAGCTGCCACGGACGCTCCCGCGGTGGACGTACTTTTGTCTGACGTCTGTGTTTTTGACTGCCAGCAAAATAGAAAATGTGAGGCTTCAAACGGGAACAGCTAAAGTCTGAAGGGATGTTAAAACACGTCAATCAGATAATTAAATAAATCAACATCCTTCGTTGCGAGCCATAAGGGTTTACGTAAAAATTATCAACACTGAATGGAATCTCATTTGAAGAGCAGTGTAATTTAGTATCAATACGGAGGCTACACACGAATGTTCACGCTCTGTAGCCGCACCATTGACTGACAGGTCTGTTATTGCCAGCCCGTCGGCCCACACTGGCCGGAGTCACTGGACACTGACCTTGATGACCGGTCGGAGGCGGTAGGGCTGCGTCTCCTGCGACTGGGTGCCGTGGAACCGGAACGGGTCGGAGGCGGCCGGCAGCGGGTCCTCGCCCAGCTCCCGCTCGGCACTCTCGGCCGCTGGTCGGCCGCCGCTCGGCTCGGCGGCCGCCGCACGTGACTGGTCGGCCGCCGACGCCTCGGCCGTCGTGTGGCCCGGAGACTTCATCGCCGCGCTGCGCCACGCCGATAGCTGCGACAGCTGCGACAGGTCTGTCTGCGAGCCCAGCCGACTGTCCTCCGGGCGCAGGCCGTCCGCCGCGGGCTGAGAGAGCGCGCCCTCTGCCACAGCGGCCGCAGGCACCGGCTCTTCCTCCGTCGCAGGCACCGGCTCTCCTTCCCGCTCCTGTTTCTCCCCGGCCTCCGCAGCCGGCGGCGGCTGCTCACCCGCCTCCCGAGCTGACGGAGCACTGCCGCCCTCACCCGTAGCAGCCGGCGGATTCTCTCTGTCCACCACGATAGACGATTTATCAACAGCTGATGACCGGCTATCGTCTTCCATTGCACCTGACGACGGGTTCTCACTGTTCGCTGTGGAGGGCGGCTTCTCGCCCTCTGCCGCCGCCGGTGACGGCTCAGTCGACTCCAGAGTGACCGCCGCCGGCGTCTCGCGCTGCCCGGCAGCGGCGGTGGACGAGGGTCCCTCCGGGTCGGCGGCCCGCAGCTGCTGCTGTCGGTTCTGCTCCTCGATCAGCCGCTGCGCCTGGCCGAACACGGTGTCGCCATCGGGCGAGACCGAGTCGCTGCTGCCCACCTGGGGTGTCTGGATGTGTGGCAGCCGCACCCCGGCGGCGTCACACCCCGGCTCGGTGGCCGGCTGGAAACCCTGGCTGTCCGAGGAGGCCGGCGACTCCTCCGGCGGGCGGACGGCCGGCCCGGAGCTGCCGGAGCCGCCGGCGGCCGGAGGCGTGCGGACGCGGCCAGGCGCCCCGCCGGCAGCTGGCGCGGCACCGCCGTCGGACGGCGTGTCCGCAGACGGGCAGCTGGGCCCGGGCGGCTCGCTAGTCTGTTCAGCAGAGGCCTCGGCCGGCGCGGGAGAGCCGGCAGGCGGCGCGGCCGGCAGCTGAGACACCTCCTCCGACTGGGACGGCGACAGGCAGAGTCGGAGGTCGGCCTGCGACTCGGCGGCGGAACTGAGCGGCGCCGACTCGGCCGCCTGCGAGTTGAAGACGACCTGTACGTCCGGCGCCACCTCCTCCACAAACTGTATGTCCGAGTCGTCCGCGCCGGCGGCGGCCGTGCGCGCCCTCTTCTCCGGGGTGGGAACCGCCGCGTCGGCAGAGCGCGGCCGCTTCAGCGGGCCGGCCGGCCGCTCCGGGCCCGGCTCCGAGGGCGTCGCTGACAGATCGAGCCGGACCTCGGACGGGGTCTCCGACAGGTCGAGCCAGGCCTCCGAGTGGGCGGCCGACACGTCGAGACGGACCTCGGCGGGCGAGCTGTCGGCGTCCGGTCGCAACGCTGAGGGGGTGGAGGCCAGCAGCTCCGCCGACCTGGCAGAAAACAACCAGCTGTCACTGGTACAGCGGTAGCAATACGGTTGTTTTACAATAGAAAAACACAATTCTAACGAATAGTGTTTGTCTTTTCAAACAACCTGCGGTTACAATTAATGAACACCAAAACACATAGGCGTAGGAACAGGGGGGGGGGGGGTCACGTCCCCTACCCCGCTTTTCAGCCATTTTTTTGGTAAACTTTTTATTTTTACTTAAATACAAAACTAAGATCAGGAAATGGTTCAGCCAGGTGAGCTAAGCAACTGCAAAGAATTTCTCCATAAGGCTCCCACAAAGTGGTATTGAAGTTTCGCTGCCTCCCCCCCCCCCCCACACACACACACTTTTCGTGATGTTCCTACGCCCATGCCAAAACATACTTGTAATCCACACTAAACTAAAAGGTTGACACATAGTACATTGTTGATATCGTCCAAAGTAAATGCATGCAATCAAATGTGCTGAGAAACAGTCAAATGTTGGAAAACAGTATGCCATGCCACATCTGGACACCCAAGATGCGGCCTGTCAGTGCGGTCATCCTTGGGAGGACTCACGTCACTTTATGCTGCACTGCCCTCTTTACGCTGACGAACGGACGCTTCTTTTTAACTCTGTCTCCACTGTATTCCACGACTTTGACGCTTTTTCTCTTAGAAGACAACTCGAAATTCTCCTAGAGGGTCAAGGTATTGGCAGCGGCGGCGGCGGGGAGCTGGTCAGGGCCATTCAAAATTATATCATTGGCACTGGTAGGTTCATATAAAAAGCACGCTTTTGGAAGTAATTTCTCTAAGCATAAAATAGGCGGACTGGCGACGGGCGGCTCTGCTTCTGGTCTGCTGGCTGGGCGGTCGGGGGCGGTGGTCGTGCCTCCTACCTTGTAGGGAACTGGGAGAGGTGCTTAGAGATAAGCGCTTGTCGCTTCTGCACCAATCCGTGTAAATGTATGACTGTGAAAATGCTTCTATAAATAAAATATGAATCAATCAATCAATCAATCAATCAATCAATCTGTGGCACTAACCTTGGATGCTGAGGTGTGCCCATCTCATTGCCACTGAGCGATTGCGACGGCTGCAGTATTGGAATAAGATGTGCAGGTGAGAGCAGATCTGGAGTACTCGATTGGGAAGAAAACATCTCCCCTTGGGAGGATGGTATAACCTCTGTGAAAACAACATAGGGACCATATGTCATAAAAATATCCAATAGCTTAAAATGCAGCAAAAGACAATGAATTGTATATGTTGGGCTGCTATGCATAAAATAAGTACCTACATATTAGCATATTCCCATGTTCAGCTTTCTTCCCTCTCAAAAATATAATATCATGAATATTGCATGTGTATTGTGTGCACCATTACAAGTAACTCAAATCCATATGCACACTATTGCCAACTACAAGCACTTCTAAAGTCATAAGAGTAGAGGAATAATGCCTCAGTGTTTTTCTTGATACTTTATACTCTCCCCACTATGAAAGCGGTAAAAAACAATCAAGAAGCACCGACTGATCATGTATGACTCATGAGTGGATTTCCAACCAGCTCACCTTCCTCCTGTTCTGCATCTTTTCCTTCTTGCTCCATCAGTCCCTCGTTCCTAGGAGCAGAGTGGTCAGGTGATTCAAAACCAATGCACATGACATAGGTACCTACAGTAACCTTTTGACAGCACTCACTCATAAAGAAATCGAAATCCCTTGCCAGGGTGAAACTTTTATCCAAGACATAAGGGGAGTCTCAATGTTTAAATGATTGATTCAGACCCAGATGTCCACCAAGCAGCATGGACAGTAGTAAAGCACGCGTCACACTCATTTTAGCAGCCAAGGAAAGGTGCTATATCCAGAGAGCTCGGATGTGTGCTCTCTGGGTAGTGTTTTAGGACCGACCCTCTTTCTGATATATATAGATGACCTCATGAAGAATTTGGACTCTCCAGGGAAACTCTTTGCAGATGACGCAAAAATCTACAGGAGGATTGGAGGCCCCAGAGATGGAGTCATTCTGCAAGAGGACATTTGCAAACTGGAAGTGTGGAGTCAAATATGGTTACTGGATTTCAACAAGGACAAATGCAAGGTGATGCATTTTGGTCCCAAGAATCCTGGCTATAACTACTCTCTAAGAGGAACGACTTTAATGGAGACTGACAAAGAAAAGGATCTGGGGGTGATTGTTACTCCTGATCTCAAAGCATCCGAGCAAGTGTCCAGGGCCGCGGCAGCAGCGAACTCCATGCTGGGAAGGATAAGAAAAACCTTTACATGTATGGACAAGGAAATGTTCCTGCCCATCTACAAGGCCCTTGTACGACCTCGAATGGAGCATGCCATTCAGGCGTGGTCACCTTACCTCCAGAAGGATATTAACAAGTTGGAGAAAGTTCAAAGGAGAGCCACGAAACTTATACCTGGACTAGCTGCCAAACCATACGAAGTCCGTCTGGCGGAACTGAACATGACAACTCTGGAAGAGAGGAGACAAAGAGGAGACATGATAGAAGTATTTAAATTGATACATGGATTTGATATGGTCAGTGCAGGAGAAGATTTCCTGAAACTTGAAACAGACGGCCACAGGGAAAGGACACGAGGGCACACTCTGAAACTCCGGAAGCCGAGGCATCGCACATTTAAACGTAATAGGTATGTTCTTTTCATCAAGAATTATTGAACAGTGGAATAAGTTGCCTGAAGAAGTTGTAACGAGCAAGAATGTTAACATTTTCAAGAACAAGTACGACAAACACATCAAGAAGACAACGGAGAGAGGCAGCACAGTGTCTCAAAATTTGTTGGTTTGGGCGGGAGATGACACCCAAGGGTGAATAATTTTCCACTCTCACTTTTGATTTTCAAAGTGAATTTTCCACTCTCAAATGTCTCTTTGGCATAAGTGAGTGGAAAACCCCTAACTCCACTCTCCAGCGATGTAATATTAAACTTCCTTGAGAATCAGTGCCGCTTTCCTCATTTACTGAGTTAATATCCCACATTTTGTTTCTAATTTTCCACTCTTATTGGCCTTTAAGGGTTCGAATTTTCCACTCTGACACCCAAGTCAAATTGTAATTTTGGGACACTGAGGCAGCATCCTATGAGCATCCTGCTCCCTTTGCCTCTTACAGATCTACTTGGTAAGCATCTACTTGGTAAGCATATGCTTCTTTCTAACAAAAAGTCTGTCTGTGCTGTCTGTGCTACAGGCCTTGGACACCAACTCAGCAGCAGGCTCAGACGATCTTCACCCCATGCTTCTCAGGAACTGTGCCACTGGGCTTGTCTACCCACTCTACCTGCTATTCCAAAGGTCCCTCGGAGAAGGCAAACTCCCAACTCTGTGGAAGTCATCGAGAGTTGTCCCGATTTATAAGAAAGGTTCAAGGTACGACGCACTCAACTACAGACCGATCAGCCTCACTTCTGTGACGTGTAAATGCTTAGAGAGAATCATTGTTCGTCATCTCTCAGCTTACCTGGAAGACAACGGCATCCTGACTGACCACCAGTTCGGATTTCGAGCAGGCAGGTCTACCATGGATCAACTGCTCCTGGTGTACAATGAGGTGTCTCTGCATGTAGACAGTGGAAGTGTCGTTGATGTCGTGATGTTCGACTTCGCCAAAGCGTTTGATGTCGTTTCTCACCAAATCCTCCTAACAAAACTTCGTCTCCTTGGTATCCAGGACAGCCTGGTCCGATGGATCGAGGACTTCCTAGTTGACCGACAAATGGCCGTACAGGTGAAGACAAAGCTGAGCAGCCCTCACCGTGTCACCAGTGGTGTCCCCCAGGGCTCTGTTCTGGGACCCATCCTATTTCTGATATTTGTAAACCACGTTGCTAGCAACCTGTCATGCCGTTACAAGGTTTTTGCAGATGACCTGAAGATGTACATGAAAATTCGTCATATCCCGCATGCCAGCTATGACCTCGATTCACAGATGTGCCAGCGTGACATTGATATGCTGCAGAGCACTGCTGAGTCTTGGTGCCTTTCTCTGAATGTTAAAAAGTGTGTTGTCCTTCGTTTTCACAGGAAATTCCACGCTCTCCCCCCTCCATGTTATCACATCTCCAATGCCCCAATCCAGGTTGTCCACTCCCACACCGACCTTGGCGTTGTAGTTGATTCAGACTTGAAGTTTCACAATCATATTACAGCAACGGTTTCAAAAGCCGCGGGTCTAACTCAGAACCTGCTTAAATCTACTGTTTGCAGGTCCCCGGACTTTATGATGACACTCTTCAACACGCACGTAAGGCCTTTGATCGAGTACTGTTCTTGCGTGTGGCACACCGGATACGTGGGTGACTTAAGGCTCCTCGAGTCAGTCCAGCGGCGTTGGACGAAGCGCGTCCATGGTCTCGGCAACCTAGATTACTACTCTCGACTTAAGGCCCTGAACCAATTTTCGGCCAAGGGCAGGCTCCTCCGAGCTGACATGATACAATGCTGGAAACTCTTCCATGATAAATGTTCAATCAAACCTTCGGATATTTTCGTGCTCTCGCCATCCTCTGGAACCCGAGGCCACCGCTTTAAGTTGCCACACGTCCGTCCCCAAACAGATTTACGTGCCAGATCATTTAGTGTCCGCTGTATCACTCCATGGAACTCTCTACCGGACGAAGTAGTGTCTGAACCAGATTTAACCAGGTTCAAATCCATGTTATCTGCGACGCTGGGTGATACCCTGTTTGTATACTAGTCTCTAGTGCGTATCTAAATGAATTGTGTCCCATGACCGTTAACTGTGTTCCGATTATAATGTTGCTGGTTGTATCTTATCACTCTTGTAAACTCATTCATTTGGCACTTGTGGGCTCACTTTCCCGTTTGGATGTGTTCTCATCCATCGGGCGAGCTCTTTCTATGCGGGTTCCTTCCCTTCTCCCCATCCCTGCATTCATTTTGGCTGCTCTCAGACCAAGGGAACCCCAAACAGGTGAGTTGAACAGGTGAGTTAAAAAAAAAACATAACAAACCTAGCCTGACCTAACGTAACCTACCACCTACAAATAGGTCCCCTACTATATCCGGGCATAGCGCCTCTCCTTGGTTGCAAAAATGAGTGACGCCTGCTCACTAGGTACTACTGCAGCATGTCAATGTGGGCTGGGGCTGGTTATGTGGGGCTTATTAAGCACATTAATCTGTCAATTCTAATTCACATAAACCTGCACCTAAACTAAATATTTTCATTGTACATCAGAGATTAATGAGTTCACACTGCCTCTGTTATACAAGACGATTGTTCGCCCTCTCCTGGAATACGGAAACACGATCTGGGGTCCCTTCCGAAAGGTTGATCAGAAGAAGCTTGAACGTGTGCAACGGCGTGCAACAAGGATGGTCCCCACGATCAAACGCCTTCAGTACACCGAACGGCTCCGTCGACTAGGCTTGACTAGGATTGCCATCCTTGTACTACCTGAGACGCAGATGCGACATGGTGACGTTTTACCAACTGTTACACGGTGGTCTGGCAATATCACCTGGGCGGTGTTTCACGGGACGCGAGTTACCTAAGTGTGGAACTACAAGTCGATTCTAGGGCTCTGATTGGTGACTTTGGTCGGGGGATGACGCCTATAGCATGACGTCACTCGCGTACTTGGCCGGACCAACGGCGCAGCGCAGGCGCGCCGAGCCAACCCAGAGGCTCTCAAACTCAATTGTACAGATCCTGCGCATTGAATGGCGAAACTTCGGCGAGTTCGCTTGAGTTTGGAAGCCCCTGCCAGAGGACTGGAGACGGCCGGATTATTTGCTGGACAGTGGGCAGCGCAGATGGCGATTGACGGTGCCAAAAAGATGATAGGGAAAAAGGAGTTCAGACTTTAGCAGTGAATTATAAGCCTGTTGCATAGCTGAGTGGTAAATTGTAAAATACTATAAGTTTGAAGAGATGCAGTGTAGTTTAGCCGACTCATGGGCATTCTGCCGAGTTATGTAAGGCGGAAGGGTCGCAACTCGCAAGTCGCTTGTTTCCATGATTGCCTGATTATAATGTAAAGCGTATCTAATGTTTAGTTGATAATACAGCGAGGTTGGGCATCTGCTCAATCCATTTCTTCTCTGCAATAGTGCATTCGCCACTGTAATTCATCGTAAGAGGCACTGGGCTGCGCCGCCTGTTAATTATTCCGAAACCACCAGTGAATTCATTTGCTGTCGTCACAGTCACTCACAACAATACGAATCGTTCAGTCGTGCGCTGGGGGTCCGCCAAGTTTAATTGTGCTGCAGAATGCAGACTGGACCGCCGAGAATATAACACTTCCGTCTGGACGAGCGGCGCATTGGAGCCGCAGGAAACTGCTTCATTTTTTGTGGGGAGGATACCCATGTTTGAAAATTATGTTATGGAATGGTGTGATAAGGAAAAGGACGGTTTCTTGAATTGAGGGCTGTGAAGAAGAGGCAGATTTTCTCATTTGCTACCCGATGCAACGCGAAAAGACGCAAATGTTGCACATTGGGCTTAATAAGTCTAATAAAAGATAAGGGACTTCGTGAATCATGCCTAATTGACCGCGACCAAGTTATTTGCCAATGCAGGTAGGCACTAGGTAGGTAGATACTCATTTGTGAACAGAACGTTCCACCACCCCTCGCCAGAAATTCAATCAGCAGTTGCTTATTAAAACGTTTGAGTGCACCTGACAACCTTTAAAAATGACGTCCTCCCTGTCAATGGTTCGTGCGAAGACACAAAGCCAGAATCAGCCAAGCAATATCGGAATCCATTGCGCAGTGTGTCGGATGTGCCCCCAGTTTTCAATCCACATAGCATAGCACACACTGCTAAATGCAGGTACGCTCACCTACACATTAGGTATTCGAAGGACTTAATAGCTCATACACATAGAAGAAACACATGAAATGTGATTTATAGCTGCAGCAGAAGTTTGGCGTCCGATGCCTCTTCGCCAAGTTAAGATCATGCCAATCTCGGCCAGTCTGCCGCTGCGCCGGCACTGGCCGTGGTGTGACGTCATCCGGCCGGCTCGGCGCTGGGTAGTTCCACACTTAGGTAACTCGCTCACGGGACGCTGCTACCACGCTGCTATCAAATTGCGCGAGCTGACGTCACACTTGTGGTAGTGTTGGAGCAATGGGCCTGTTGATGTTTCCATGGAAACCCAATTTGACACGTGTAAAAGCAGCGTGCTGCTATCACCGGTGAAACAGGGCCCTGAAGTCTTCCTGACACGGAGCGACTCGGACCGCACCAGGGGCCACGGGTGGAAACTCAAGAAGCCCAGGGCATCGAAACTCGTGCGCAGAAACGCATTCAGCATTAGAGTTATCAACGACTGGAACTCTCTACCAAACGCAGTGGTATCAGCCCAGTCCGTGAACCAGTTCAAGGCCCAACTGGACAAACACTGGCGCGACTCGATGTTTGACGTCCCAAACCCCTAAGAGCCCAGCCTGTATTGGTATCCCGTTACGAGCTCGATGTGAGCAGGTTCCCCAGGCCAAGTGGCCTTTTATCCCGATCACCGCAAAGGTAAGGTAAGGTAAGGTAAAGCACTACATACTCAGAGACCGCTCCCACGATATTGATATTATTTTCACCGTTTTGTAACCCATCCACGCTTTCCAATTTTTCCATCTTGGCGCGTTTTCACAAGTCTTGCATCCTCAACTTGTGCTCAACGGAAATTCTAATTAGTTTTGAAATGACGTCATAGGTCTTATCCAAAAAAGTTTTGATAATTTTTTGATTTTAGTCTAAAACTGACACTGAACAAAATAACTGTAAATGCATATTTACGTCTGGACAACGAGTTGCGGGGAAAAGTGCTGACTTTGTTGCAGTTTTAGGAGCCAGTGATTAGGCTGGATTTTTGGGTTACTTTTTCGTTCCGATTCATGTATTTCATAGTGTTTGGCTTTTGAATATTTTAGTTCTTTCAGATAAATATTAATTGCCTTACAACTTCTGTAAAAACGTTTCATTTTCTATAAGCCGACCTTCAGAGTCCTAAAAATACATCAGCACTACAATCATTGTAAACAAACAAATGGAGCACACTTGGCTACCTTGACTTGGCTCTGTTCCAAGGCGCTTTTTAAGTTTATCTGGTGGTTTCCGTACTCTTGTACGTCGTTTTGTTGGATGTTTTGAATCCCTTAAGGTTGACTTATATCATAGGTAAGAAGCATGTGACTGAATACAATCCGAAGTATCCAGGAGGCTGACAGAGGTCCTGACTCCTGAGCAATATCATCAAGTTGAATTTGAAGTTATGAAATTTTGGTTGATAAACGCAAGTTAAACGGGCTCATACATCAGCAAGAAAAAGTAAAATTTAAAGAGCTTATTGGCCGAAAACAAGCTATAATATTGCAGATCTTGGAGCAATACTAAAGAGCGCGCTGAGCAGGATCATGCCAGAAAATGTTGACTGATGAGCGCACTGCGCATATTGATGTATTGGTATGAATATTGAATGATAACTTACAACAGCAAGATAAATTAGTGCTATCAAGTTGAAAATCTAGAATGAATGGACTTTGGCAGCTTTACTATGCTTATGTAGATGCTATGCGGACTGTAATGTGCATCAGGTACTCAGTGTCTGGCAAGTGGCAAATGAAACATGCGATCATTCCATTGCTACTGGAGGAGAAACCTTGGATCGCTAATCCACTTTATGTTGATTTTGATGTTAATCATTACTGTATTTCTTGAAAAAAGGATTGTTATAAAATTGGCAATGTGACAATCCATGCAACGATGTGATCATATATTATAATAATATAATATAATAGTCATTCGTGATAGTGATTGTTGGTCCAATATACAATGGCAAAGCTCCCAGTCTCAGCGTTTCTTCCTGTGGATGGCCAGCAGTGACTCAGAGCTTAGAAGTATTAGTTTTCTTCACAGGACTGGGATAAAAAGTACTGCGGGTAATCTTCCACCAAGGAACTCTACTTTGACATGGTATGAGATGTAGGCACAAGTAGGTAGGTGCTTAGTTCCTATAGTCAGCAGTTGTGTAGGTTTAGTCGGGTTAGCTTAGATTAGGTTATGTTAGTTTTTTAATTTGCCAAGTGTCCATAAAAATGTGACCTGAGCAATGAGCATACCTGAATAACCTGACAGCTGACCTAACCTCAATCAGCACACATATTTGCAGCCTACCCAAGACCTGCATAGCAGTAGCACCCAGTTATAGGTAGGCTACTACCTACTCACCCTAACTCAATCTTACCTGCTATAGTCTGTTTTTCGTATCTTCTACCTTCACTCAAAGATGTTTTGTTCCTCCAGCACGTTTTTAGGGTATAGTTTTCAAATATTGGCCGCATGGCCCACCACTCATTGCAGGAGTTTGTTGCTCGTGTTGGAGTTCGCCTTCAGTGCGCAGTTCAAATCGGAAAAGAAAGAAAAAGAGTATCGCTTGTATTATCGTTACCACGGTTTATTGGTACTGACTACCGACCTATACACAAGGACGTTTTGCTGAGAACATTTAAAGAATAGTTTAAAGCTAGCACTTCCTTGTCATTAGGTAAAAGAAACTAAATGTGTTACCTATATTTTTTCAAATGCTTAATTTATGTTTTGCTTTATTTACGTTGCGATAACTTTTACACCGACGAATAACAAAATTATCTTAGCCCACGCCCGCTTGAGGGGTCCCCAGGCAGATTTGCTTCATCTTATTATTTTCCTATCTGCCTCACGCGATCATCCCGAAAAGTAAGCAAGGTGCGAAGACACGGGCAAGAATCGATAGCTCTCAACAATTACTTTCAGCAGTATAGTATATAGTAGGTATATACCGCATTTTGCTGAGGTCAATAGTGAAGGCCGCTGAAGGTCATTAATTTAAAAAAACTCCCGAGCTCAACATGTTTGGACAAATCTGACCAAACCTTGTCAACCGATTGAACTACAGCGCCGTCGAAACATCTTTAGTTCTAGCAGCTATTAGGTATTGTCGAAAGCTGCTGGTGATCTTTATCATCTGACATGACCTTTTGAGTGAGCGCTGGCAATCACCAACGCCTTAGGGCTTATATTATGATACACAAATGCAGGTAATAACAACAATAACACCCACGTATGCATTTTTCGTATTATATTGCGCTGAAAGCATGACGGAGTTGAGCTGTGCCACCACCGACGGTGTTTCTCCGCGCCTTCAACACTTTTCTTTCTGGTATCCAAGGAGGTAAGTTCTTTATTCTGGCGATATTCGTTGGTTGTGCTCCTTCTTCACCGCCTTACTTCAGTCACCTAACCCACATTTCTTTTGCTTTGAAACGTTGAAAGAAAACGTTACGATCATTTTGTCTCGTCTGAGACCAAGGCCATTGCCCTTCTGTTGTTTGAAAACATAATGAAATTAGAAAGGGATAATTTTGCCAGAATTAAAATATGATGTCACGCTTTTATGCAAATGCATTTCACTTGACAAAGAACATCGCATTTTGATTAAAGGGACAGTATCACCATTTTGATGAAATTTGACATTGCATAGGCCCCACCTTTCTGGTCCGGGAACTGAAGACCGATCCTCGAAGCTCCACACCGTTTTCCCGCTATCGCCGCTCAAAGTACGAAAGGTGTACCACACTTTGAATCGTGCTTCACTATCTTCACTGTTTAAATGTTTGCGCCGTTTTGAATTGACCGCCAGTAATAAAACTTTTACCCTGGTCATTTCATCAAATTTTATAAGGCCAAAACGTTTTTCGCACTTATTCATCACCGTTAAATTCATTAAATAGTCGTAGGCAATTTCCGCTGTTTCCTTCGGATTCTAGCGGCTCAACAAAGGAATTCCTCCAGCTTGAATCACAATCTCCCTCCAATGTATGACGTTTATCACGTGATTGTCACGTGATATTTTCTCCCATTGTCAATTGTCACGTCCAATTGTCACTCCCTCCAATTGTCACGTTACATTTTTATAGGCAATACCTAAGGCTACCTCTCCCTAAGGACAACTCAATCAGAAGAACGACCGCGTAAGCGTAGCGTCAATAATGTATTATCTGCGCCAGTTCTGTAGTAATTTTGCATGCTTCCAAACTGGCGGCCATGCTTGTATAGTGGTGGTTCGCTCATGAAAATGAATCATGAAAATGAAATGTGGTTGCAATATTTTTCACCGAGTTCGGTCCTCAAACTATGTTTTTCTGATTCAGAAAAATAAGAAATGCTAGTAAAAAAAAAATCAGCTCCATACATGGATATTTTTTTCGATGATACTGTCCCTTTAACGGGATAGGCCAAGGGGACACACGTTCGATCTTGCGTTCGAGATAAAAATTGACTTTGCACCGGTGTTGATTTAATTAGATGTTCGCTGGAGCACGTGATTAGAGAGTTTACCGTCTTTGAGTGAAGGTAGAAGATACGAAAAACAGACTATAACCTTCAACTTTCCAATAGTTAGCTCACCTTGCCAAGCTGCATCCTGCAGGGAAACAGTCAACTGAGGAACTGGCTCATTGGGTGGCTGGTGTGAGTCTGTGCATTTAAAGTGTTTCTTCTCTGAAGCTAGGCTCTGCACTGCTCACTACTGTATGTCATGTTAGATGCTCGGAAAATGTGGGAAATGATTACTAAGCTACTTTAGTGCTTTGTTAATGCTTGAGACATGAACAAGTACAGATCCTGCAGGGTACAGCTATGAGTTGGGTGCTAGGTGAGTATGTTATGTGAATGTGCTGTTCCCTGTTTGACCATAGTAAGTATACAAACAAGCACAGGGCAGTGCTGGAAATGAGGCCGCTTTCTGGTCCCGGCGTTTTATTCTCCGGGTGAGTTAGCCCCGTCTAGCGCTTAGCCTTTCGGGACCCTCTCAGAGCCGCGGTTGTTTTCGCCGCTCGGCCCATTCGAGATGCAAAGTTGATAATCGCACGAAGTTTATTTGGGGCCTCTGAATATACGACTTCGAAATTAATCGATTTTACAAAACCTTTTACTTTCATCTATATGCATACATTTAACAGTAACTCCAGACTAGACTGGTTTGGCTGGCCCTAAATAAGCTTCGTGTGACTATTAACTTTGCATCTCGACTAGGGCGAGCGGCGAAAACAACCGCGACCCTGAGTGGGTCCCGAAAGGCTAAACGCTGGACGGGATTAACCCGCGAGGAGAATAAAACGCCGGGACCAGAAAGCGGCCTCATTTCCAGCACTGGCACAGGGTCACAGTTATATTCAATCTCCACATAAACATACAACAAAAACAGCCATATAGCCTCACTCCGAACACACAACAAAGAACTTAATCCTTTGCAGGCACACAATGCTTTGATTTACAGGACAGGTATAGAATATATCCTCTGTCCTTGGGGATCTTGCTGCCAAGTTGAGGTACGATGACTGAACTTCAGGATTGATCAACCTTTTCTTCTTAGCCACTCCACTGCTTATATACGAGAAAGACCAAATTCTTGTTCGTAAACTGCCTTGAAAATTTAATGATCCACCTTCAATTCTGACATAAAGGCACAAATAAAATAGTTCCCTCTCCTTTTGGAATACACAAAGCAAAATATTAAATAACTTCTAGTGGGTGGACAACAGCAATTAGCATAGCTTCCCTCAAGTTAACTTCTGGCACTGATGAATTACACTGACGCTTATTTGCTTCATATTTTGTAACAAACGCGCTAAAACTGCAATATAACAGCACTATATGCTTCTTGACAAAATGCAAAAGTAGTAAAAATTTAGCCCTGATGGCATTCATTCTTAGTGGAAACGTAATAACAAAATATTTTGTAGTAACTATTAAATTCCGGCCGAAAACAGTGCACGGTTTAAAAAAGAATCATTCCAATGACGGTCCATTCTTGCGGTCCTGAAATCGCCACTATTTCCGGCCTTTCCAACGCAACTCGTTGTCCAGACGTAAATATGCACTGTAAATGTATTTATGTCATGAAGCATAGAAATCATAGATATACAGACATAGAAATTGATTTTATGGACTTTCAAAATGTCATAATCGAAATGGAAAAGACCATGAAACGACAGCCTCTATCTTTTTTATGACGTAGTTTTTAGCATTGTTTTAAAATTACGATAAAGATAGAAATATTTTCGCGCCTGTTCATGAAGCAAATATCAGCATGAGAGCATCAGGAAACGGACCATCGTTGCTATGCAACCGGTAGTTTAACCAGTGGTTGCTTGCAGGTTGCTAGGCAGTTCCCTATTACCTAAGTGATACGGTTACAGCATTGAACAGTACTCCTTCACCTTTTACATACATTTCTCCTGAGTCTTCTGAGCACGCCCGGTCATAGCAAAATACCGAAGATACCTATAAGAAACGGTTTGGAAACGGTCATAGATCATCTGAGTGACAAAGTAAGTTGAAGTGTTGGATATATTCATGGAGTAGTTCTAGGGCTCTAAGATATATGCTATGGAGTATGGATATTGTGGTTGTTGTTGATGAGTTAGGGCGCGCAGCAGCTTGGCTCAAGCGTCCAACAAGATATTGTGGTGGGGTGGCGTACCTTGACCTCAACCTATATATTGTGCAGAGCTTTGCGTAAAAGTAGTCATGGCCATATAACAAGGAATGTAGTATTAAAATGTGTTTCGAGGCTCTTGGAAGACAAAGATTCTATGTCTTCCGGCCAATCCCATTCCATAACCGGCATAACCGCAGCCAAGCCCCCAATGACCTTGAACAGAGTTGGCGGGACGATTTAGAATCTAATCTTCACCGTGCGAAAGACTCTGAGCACGGGTTTAGTGTGTTGCAGCTTCAAACTTCTTTTTGGTTCTCATTCTCCATCCTATATCATTTGACACATTGATTTTGTGATAAGTTTGAGTTAGCAACAGCATTGCAAATGGAATGGAAACCTGGTTTTTAGCAGTATTAGCAGTATTAGCAGTATGGAAACCTTTTTTTAGCAGTATTATTTTTTAGCAGTATTATGTGGTATCCCCCCCTCCCCAGCATCTGAGCCTGCTTTTCTTGATTGGTCTGTGACAGTGCTAAATCAAATGGATGTTTGAGGCAATATCAATTTCAGTCAGGAGGTTATGTCATACCTAGTTTACTGCTCCTGCACCAAATGGCACCACATTGCCGACACCCGTGGCCATGGTTTTTCCCCACAGAGAGTCTAATCATGGCGTCGCGGCCGAACCCGTCCAACAAGCTGGCCGAGATGTCTCGGCAGCAGGAGCTGATCGAGCGGCGCCGGCAGGAGATCGAGCAGCGCCGGCGGGCGGCGGCCGGTCCGCGCGGCGGCGGCGGCGGCGACCGGGGGCGGCCGGCCGAATCGGAGGCCGCCCCCGGCCCGTCCGGCAGTCTGAGCGCCGGCAGCAGCGCCCGCAGACTGTTTGAGGCGCACAAACAGAGGTGAGCCGCCGGCCTCCACCCGGACTGTTCCCCGCCGGACCGAGAGGCCTCTGTAGGAGCCGCGAGAGAGCTCACCAGCGATAATTCGGTCGCCTCAGCGCAGTCTCTCTTCAAGTTGTCAAAAAAAAAACCTATTCAGGATAGTGTGCAGTGATGTTTTGATGTTCACTGTTCTTTCACTACCTGTTATCATTTTTGAGAACGCTGACTTTCATGGCTTCTAACTACTGCCGCTGCCGCTGTACCGCAGTTTCTTGGCGACTCAGAAGAAGGCCCCTCCCGCTGAGCCTGCACCACCAGTCCAGAAGCCCGACGGGCCATCCAACGTCTTCCAAAACGACGGCAGCTTCATGGAGATGTTCCAGCGAATGCAAAAAGCCCGTACGTAGCGCAGGAGCGGTCGCGCATTTTAAACTATCTACAACCTGTACAGTGTACACTTGTACAGCGACACTTATGCGTTGATAGGGAGTAGGGACATGTCCGGCGGAATAAGTGACTCGATATGGTGTGGGATGTGCGCGCCGCGCGATTACAGATCTGTGTCTGTGTTGTACCCCCCACCCCCACCTTACCGCTGCCCCCTGTGATCGCACTGACAGCCGGTGGATGTGCGCTGTTCAGACTCGGTCCGGCCACCCCTCCTGTGCCGCTGCCCCCCTGTGACTGATACTGACAGCCGGTGGGTGTGCGCTGTTACAGACGCGGCGGCGGTGCCCCCGGCTCCAGCGGACCGGCCGGCCGGAGCGGCTCAGCACACACCCAGTACGTATTGGCGGTGGGCGGCGGCGGCAGCGGCAGCGCGGCCCGGCGCGGCGGCACGTGCACCGTAACTCACAGACTCGCTAGTCTCGTCTGCAGTTGGCGGCTCTGGACGGCAGGGGACGGAGCAGGCGGCGGCCGGTGGATGGACGGCAGCGCCGGGCGGAGCGCTGCACTCGCGGCGGGAGAGGAGCCCAGCAGGTGAGCAGTAAAGGCAGCGGCCAACGGCCCGAGCTGGGCGGGGGTGATCGGGGTCCTAGGTACGGTTGTTACTTGTTTACTATGACTTGCTGACGTCGATGCTGCTGATGTAATATGACTTTGGTATTGTTCAGTTTGTTAGTATCATATCGAGCAGAGTTGAAGGTGTTGGTGCACCAGTGACTTACATGGTGATAAGCTGTGTATTCTCGCTGGAATAGGGCCCAACGGTTGTGTATCGTGATTTTGCGATATGATTATCTCATATGGTTTTTCCCGTCATATTCAACTTCCGTGATATGCCTATTTCAACGACGAATATTAATTTCTTTTCACGTGCTTGGGGTACATCTCGCTTGGTCCGGTAAATGACGTGTCAGCTTTCAGAACCTCGGCGCCCGTCTGCCTCAGCGCGGTGTGGCCGACAAGGGTAATTTCGAAGGTGTAAGACCTTTTAAGGTGTAAGGCCATGGCGTGGCCTATTCCGCTTTAGTCAATTTTGGTGTTTAACAATTATATGCGGTAAATTTCACATAAAAGTATGGATAGGTCAGTTCTGTATTGCTGGAAACTAGTGTACTGGAAACTTAAGTGATCTGCGGCGAATCGGCTATACATATACATATATGAAGGTATACCCCGGTTCCGAAAACGAAATGCCAGGGTAGATAAGTTAAGCATAAGTGTTCATGAGAGTATGTGCTGTAGTTCCGACGTTCTCCGTGTGATTGTAATACCGTCGCGGCTGGGCGCTGACATGGTCTGTGCGCGCTCGATGGTCGCGTTCGCCCGTGACGCCGCGGCCGGCCGCCCCGTGTCACCAGACGGCTCCGGCGAGCCCCCGCGTAAGAGGCGCAGCCGCTGGGGCTCCGAGGAGGAGCGGGCAGACGTGCCGCCCGTCGGCGTGGCCACGCCCACGCCCTCAGTCGGTACGTACCGCCATGCCCACGAGGCCGGTCACTAATTCCGCCGTTAAAACTAACTGCGGCTTGCAGGCGTCTTTTTGCTGTTTTGTTTGTCTTGTGTCTGAAAAAAATCCCCTGTTTCACTTATCATTTTGGAATGCCTGTCATGTGGCGAGGCTGCCTGGTCTAAGTGGTAACTTGCAGCTGTGCTGAGATTTAGTTTCAGCTCTTTGCCAGGCCTTTTACTGATAGACTGAACTGTGCTGTTCGCAGCGTTCACTGTCGGTCTTACTGGGGCGAGTCTGGTCTCCTGTGTACAGTCTAACCTATGCTGTTGTTTGCAGCGTTCCCTGCCGGTGTGGCCGGGAAGTCTCCGGAGCTGATTGCCTACGCCAAGCGCGTGTTCGGTAACGTGGATCTGATGTCCGAGGACCAGTGGAAACAGTGTGACGATCAGATGAAGGTAACAATAATCATCGACGGCCGCTCACCGGGCCAGTCTCGGGGGCGGCAGTAGGTGACACGCACTTCTGTGGTTTTATTGCATGTTGAATTTTTGGTAAAAGCTGCAAAGAAATGTTCAAGTGATAACTATAACCATTATCATACCTATGATTAGACGGTAATCTTTCAACATTTGCTTTTCAACATTTCAACATTCAACAACAACATTTCAACAACATTTCTGTGATGGTTAAACCCGGACAATTCACTCGTCCCCCGATGTACGATTTCATTAGAACACTGCAAAGGAGCCAAATGTCGATAGTGTGCTGTCGGTGGTGCTCAGTTTCGCTCGGCTCGTATTCGTATCCTGTCCGAGTGAGACAGCGAGCGTCAGTTCGACCTCTGCTCCGTCCCACCCACATTTAGTTCACACACGGAGCCGGCACTGACCGGTCCTGAGTTGACACACAAAGACACCCTCATCTTACACACGGGTCGGGCACTGACCGAGCCCGCCGTCGGTCCGCAGATGAACGTCCTTCTGGAGGACATCAAACGTAAGAAGGCCGAGAGCGAGCGGCTGGCGCAGCGCGGAAAGGTCAAATACGAGTACGACTCGGACGAGGAAACGGACGGAGGCACCTGGGAGCACAAACGGTACCTGGAACACGCGGAGCAGAGTGTAATATGTTCCGTGCCTCACAGCTGCTTTGAGCCCACTGTGACCCTCATAGAGTATATCCGTATGGGCGTCTCTCGCTATCCAATGTGCCTTTCCTTAAAAGCGTCCAGTGTTATTGTGTAAGCCATCTGGTGTTGTACATATCTGTTTATCCGTCACCCCAGTCGCCGTGTGTCCGATGCGTCCGCTGTGTTCGTTAACATCTCTCCGTGCGTCCGCCAGGCGGAAGGCCGAGATGCTGGAGACCCAGCGGAAGGCCGACGAGCTGACCGCCATGAACGCCGGCAAACACCACATCGGAGACTTCCTGCCGCCCGACGAGCTCGAGCGCTTCATGGAGAAGTGGCGCGCGCTCAAGGAGGACCGCGAGCCCGACATGTCCGACTACCGCGAGTTCAAGCTGAAGGAGGACAACATGGGCTTCCAGATGCTGAAGAAGATGGGCTGGTCGGAGGGCCAGGGCCTGGGCTCGGACGGCGCCGGCATCACGGCGCCGGTCAGCCAGCGGCGCACCCTGGACACGGCCGGCGTGGGCACCAGCACAGAGGCGGACGTCACCAAGGAGGACACAGAGTTCGACGCCTACCGAAAACGCATGATGCTCGCATACAAGTTCCGGCCCAACCCGCTCAACAACCCGCGCCGGGCCTACTACTGAGCGGGTGGGTTCGTACAGAGGGGACAGCTAACCTACTACCAGTGGAGAGGGATATCCTGCCAGCAGAGCCGCCGGCGCTGGTCGTCGTCATCCTGCGCTGCAGAGTCGCCGACTGAGACTCCACTCCAACCCACCCCAGCTGGTGGTGCGGGCGCCGGCAGCCGCCGCACGGATCAGCTGATGTGGGGCGATACGGACAACAGTGACTGACAGAGAGCCATAGCCTTCAACACAGACCCTCGCCCGTGCACTGACTGCGGTGTGGCACACGCCTTTATTTCGTTGTTTGCCCAGGCGCCAAGGCGCTGAGAAGCACCTACGATCACAGACTACAGTGTTAAAGCTGCGCAGTATGCCGTGATGGCAGGGCCGCCCCGGACTGTGCTGTGGGTCCGATCAGGGGACGGCGGCCGTGCCCGGCGAGGTGCTGGGCGGCGGGGAGGGACGGGTGGTGCAGGCCGGTGTGTAGGGAATTCTCCCGGTGTTTCACCGTGCAGATCACTCGTCAGTCGTCTATAACTACAGCGTGCCACCTGGGCTTACCGAGCGTCGCGCAGGATGGGCGCTTTGAGGACAGCAGGACAGGACAGCCCGGCGTCAGCAGAGATTGGAGCCTGGCGGGCGCCGCATCGGAGCTGAGCAGAAGTTTTCCAATTGTGTGTAAAAGAATGGAACATTTAGTAGCTCGTCATTGCCAGTGCCTGTGTGTTTATTGGCCTCGGATGAGTTCATTCCGCCGGTACACGGTTCTTTCGCACTCTCGAGAATACTGTCGGAGGCATCCCCTTTATTTTTCCCTGGGGAGGGGCGAATGGGACAACATCAGGTGAAAGACGCACGAGTCGGGAGTCTATCCAGACTCCAGAATCCGTTCAGACGGTACAGTGTCGGCGTGAATTGTCTGGAGAAATACACGGAGCGGTCGGGGACGTAGGCAGGTGTCTTCAGCTGGGTTTCTTCAGGTGATATAGTCCGTATTCTTCTCGGGAGATGTCGCTGGGAGCGCCGGCCATCAAGTCGCGCCCATCCGAGGACTTTGGGAACGCAATAACATCGCGAATGGACGGCACGCCCGCCGCCAGCGCCACCAGGCGATCCAGGCCTGAAACACAAACATATCAGTGATGTCAGCGCTACCAGGTGATCCAGGCCTGAAATACAAACAACGTGAGGCCAGCGCCACCAGGCGGTCCAGGCCTGAAATACAAAACGTGATACCAGCGCCACCAGGCGGTTCAGGCCTGAAGCGCCAACACGTCAACTTGGTTTCCATCCCACAAGCCTCATCGAAGATGCGGCCGCCGATCTGACCGCTAATCCATCCCCCCGCACCCCCTGGTCGTTTCCGCCGTTCCGTACCTAGTGCGATGCCGCCGTGGGGCGGCGCGCCGCTGGCCAGGGCGTCCAGCAGGTGCTGCAGCGGCGCCGTGTCCTCCCCCAGCACCGTCTGCAGCACGTGGCGCTGCAGCGCCGGCTCGTGGATGCGCATCGATCCGCCGCCCACCTCCCAGCCGTTCAGCACCAGGTCAAAGTGCTGGCTGCGCGCCTGTCGGACACAACGGGACCGGGATCGGCGGAGTGAACATTTCGGAGGGAATCGAACCTACCTGTCCCGATCAAACACCAGCATGAGTCTGCCATCAGCATAAATACGTGTTTTGAAGCAATAACATGATGCTAAGCACGAACGTAAGTTAACTTGAAGTTGAACTTAGTACATCGAACATTCAGCATTTTTACTCAAGCTACGTTGTCACAAGTTGTCAATGAGTCGGCTTTGGTCTATATCTTCCCTTGATGGAACCCAGAGCTGCTGATGGCGCTAGAAGGGATGCCTAGTGATATGGCCCGATCAGACGATCAGCCCAGAGTGGGTATAGCTGATAGGGGATACCGTCCCTCCGGCTCCCACCCACCTGTTCGGGGTCCGAGTAGAGCACGTGCTCGTCCTCGGCGTGCGGCCGGGTGAACGGGTGGTGCGCCGACACCAGCCGGCCCTCCTCGCGCACAAACAGCGGGAAGTCGACCACCCAGAGGAAGTGGGGGCCGGCGCGGCGCACCGTCACGCCGGCCTCCTCCAGGGTGTCGGCCATATGGGTGCGCAGCCGGCCGAGCAGCGTGCGCGCGGCGCCCTCCGGGCCGGCGGCCAGCAGCAGCAGGTCGCCCGGACCGGCGCCGGCCGCCGCCGCCAGCCGGCTGCACGTGTCCGCGCCCAGCGGCGCCGCCAGCCGGCCGCCCAGCCGACCGGCACCGTCCGCCGGCAGCGCCGACACGCCCGCCAGACCGGCCTGCTCGGCCATCCGGGCGTGCTGCGCCTGCACCGCCCGGCTGTGGTGGCGCTGAGAGGGGCGGAGGGGGGGGGGGGGAGTCATGGGCGGCCGCGGCGGGACCTAGGCGGAGGCACGTCAGGAGGAGTTACGGTCAGTCGAACTAGGGCTGGGAGCGGGCACAATGGTGAACTCAGTCAAACTCTTACAGCAAACAGGAACATCCAAATAAAACGAATAAGGATACTGCACCGTTATAACTAATAACGGACTGACAATAATGATACTCCGCCGTTATAATAACGGACTGACAGCAAATAACAACTGAGATATAAGCTGAGCCTCTTGACGCGATTCACCCTGACAGGAGGGTACTCACTGCTCCGTCAGGCACCACCAGGGCGACGGCGGCTCCCTCTGGTCCGTTCAGCTGCTTCTCCAGCACGTCCAGGCCGCAGGAACGCAGAGCCCTGGTCACCGTCACCAGCTGATGGGCGCGGGGGGGGGGGAACGGCGTCAGCAGGAAGTCAGAAGTGGCAGAAGAGGAAGGGAGAGACTGATAGAGAGACAAATAGATGGGGAAGTCAGAAGGCGTCAGTCTGAGACGGGTGTACGGCAACACATTACAGAAAGTCTGTCTGAGAGAGTGAGTTCCATTCGGTCCAAATCAATGATGGGTCCGCTGTACCCAGCAGTCAGTGCGGTCAGCTCACCCTCCACTTGAAGCGGACGTCGGGCTTGTCGGTGCCGTACTGCGTCATGGCCTGGCTGAAGGTGATGCGCGGGAAGGGCGTCACCAGCTCCTGGGGCCAGCAGCGGTGCAGCATGCCCTCCACCAGCGCCTGCACCTCCTGCTGGCTGGTAAAGCCCAGCTCCAGGTCCACCTGCGCGGGGAACATACAGAGATAATGTGGTGTCCTGTGTCGGGGCGTACCTACAAATACCACATCATTGTCACTTGTACACTCATACAGAGCTGCTGAAGTAGTCATACGGCGAGCTGTATCGGGCCAGAGGTCCCGGGGCGCAGGCTACCGACCTGAGAGGACTACCTCCATGACTGACTTGAGTGAACTACCTCCATGACTGACCTGAGTGAACTACCTCCAGGACTGACCTGAGTGAACTACCTCCATGACTGACCTGAGTGAACTACCTCCAGGACTGACCTGAGTGAACTACCTCCATGACTGACCTGAGTGAACTACCTCCAGGACTGACCTGAGAGGACTACCTCCACTGACCTGAGTGAACTACCTCCATGACTGACCTGAGTGAACTCCGGTTGCCGGTCGGGCCGCGCGCCCTCGTCCCGGTAGCAGCGCGCGATCTGGAAGTAGCGGTCCAGCCCGCCGATGACGAGCAGCTGTTTGAACTGCTGCGGCGACTGGACCAGACTGTAGAACTGGCCCGGCCAGCGGGTCGGCACCACAAACTCTTGAGCTCCCTGTGAGACAGACGGTATACAGACAGAGTCAGATATAACAGTCAGTGGCAGACTGACACAGTCCTGTAACTGAGTGCGGAGCCAGTTGGACATAGCGGCGCCGTGGATTACCCTGACTGACGAGTGTCTGTTGAGCGAGGGCACCATAGGATCTGTCGTGCTTGGCAATTAAGTTGAAGGCATAAACTGTGTCACACAGTAAGCTCTGGGTTGTCGCTCGCCTATGAGCAAGAAATATTCACGAAAGAATACCTACTTGTTGCGATTCAACTCTACAGAAAACACCTTCGCTGCCATACAATGAAGGTAGCGATTAGCGAAGATGAAGTCATGGCTCCAACAAGCGCGATGGCTTGTGACCGAAAGTATCATATCGTGGCGGCTTGGCAGTAGCCAATGGGCCAACAGAGTACGGAACAGACTGTACCTATACGTCGCACAGCCAGTGCACGGGACAGACAGTGTAAGAGAACCCGCAGCCGGGACTCAGTACCTACCCCGGGTGTCCTGCGAAACAGCGTCGGCGTCTCGATGTCCACGAAGTCGTGGTCTCTGACCAGGTACTCGCGGATCTCGGCAACCATCTGCGGCAGATGGCGGTCGGGTCAGGTACCGACAGCCCCGGAGACCTCACATATTGCCAGTCTGCTAGGACTGGTACTTATCCAGCTTAGGCACGTGCCGGACTGTCGGACTGACAGTTACATTAACACGCTTAATATGAACACCCACCACCCTATCCGCGCGACTTTCATTCATTGATTCGGTCATTCCTCCGCACACTAGGTCGAAGGTTCTGGTGTGGCGGGCGACCGCACTGTATCAACTAGGGGCGCCGTCTGAGCGAGGGGAGGGATCGGAGCTCCGTCTGACCGAGGGGGAGGGATCGGAGCCCCGTCTGACCTCGGAGCGCCGACGCAGGTTCTCCTGCAGCTCGGTGTGCCGCAGGTCCAGGTACCGGTACTGTAGGCGCAGCGCCTCCTTCGCCTGCGGGCAGATGGCGGGGTCAGCACACCAGTGGGGTCAGGGTGTCGTCCGCCAGGGCTCAACGGCCTGCGGTCGGCACCGGTACCGGTACCGGGCGGCGGGGAGAGATACCACAGGTAGGGTACCTGGCTTACGCTGGGTCAGCGATACATAGTGATCTAGGCCAGGTACAGGCATCAACTGTGACCGCGTTTTCCACGAAAACAGTTCCAATGAGGACATTCATCATAATGTTGATCTTAATGAACGGTGAAGAGAAGATGAGCTTCCGGAAAAAAATATAACACATTTGAGATGAGGTGCTTAACAGGATCTACGCTACGAGCGGACTCGTAGATTAACTGAACACTCGCCCAAGTCGCACAGTCAGGGCGACTGGGCACTGAGCACCCCTGTTCGCGTCAGGGCGGCTGAGAATTAGTAGGCCTACAACTGCATTCTGATCCGTCAGGATGGTAGGGTATCACGTCTACGGCTCAGCACCCTTGCTCGCATCAGGGCGGCTGAGAATCAGCAAGCCTACAACTCCATTATGTTCCGTCAGGGTGGAAGGGTATCACGTCTACGGCTCAGCACCTCTGTCCGCGCCAGGGCGGTCGCTGGGCACTGGCCTTGTTGAACGAGCGGACGTTGAAGGGCAGCTCGCGCTCCGGCTTGTTGAGCACGGTGATGTCGTGCGCCACGACCTCGATGTCGCCCGTCTTCATGTCCTGCAGAACAACCAGATCAGGGTATTGTAAGGCTTATCACGAGTGCCTACTCTCGATGTTCTTTCGACACCCCATTGATGAAATGCGTGCTCATGTATTCCCGTACATACAGCAGCGGGTAGCGCACAGCGGAATCACAATTGATCGCTCATCGCTGAGTCATCCGCCCGGCCTGCCCTGGTCGAGTACCGTACCTGGTTCTGTTGGCCGTCAGGACGGAGACGAACGGCGCCAGTCACCTGAAGCACCGACTCCAGGGGCAGGCTGTCGACCAGCTCCGACAGACGACGGTCCTGGGTCAGAAAACAGCACAGACCACGGTCAGGCATGGGGCACAGACAGCAGAGCACAGACAAAAGAGCACAGAAAACAGCACAGACCACGGTCAGGCATGGGGCACAGACAGCAGAGCGCAGACAAAAGAGCACAGAACAGTGACAACAGTCAGACCTGAGGCACACACAACAGCGGCAGAGTGTCCAACAGCACACACATTACGGGTGGTATGCAGCCAATTCAGTCCTTCCTGCCCCGTCAGCGCCCCCCGCCGCCAGCGCCCACCTCGTCCGGCAGGATCAGCTGGGTGACGCCGTAGCCGTCCCTCAGGGTGATGAACTTTCCCATCCGTTTGAACTGGAGCCAGCCGCAGAGGCTGACGCTCCTGCCGGCGTCCTTGGCACGCAGCTGGCCGCACGTATGGGTCCGGTGCTGAAAACTGCCTGCGAACGCACAGCGGCGCAACGTCAACACTGCAGCGGGGATCAGCCGAAGAAATGTGGCGCTTGGTTCGTAAAAAGATCATAAGTTATTTTTTAAACAATGTTGTCAAAGCAGAAGTGAATCATCGTCGTAAGATTCACAAGCGAGCCTGCTCTCCCCCTCGCATTGAGACCCGCCCGCTCCCTTTCCACCTGCCCCGGACCGTTCAGAAGTCCCCTGGCGGTACAACCGAGTGCCAGCGCCCGGTGAGCGGACAGCCGGACAGTCCAGTCCCCCTACCTCTCCCGCTCTCCGGCAGCACTCACTAGCGCGGCGGATCGCGGCCGGAGCCGCCAGGCGCGGCTGCGCGGGCCGTCCGACCGGGCTCGGCCGCAGGCCCCGCAGCAGGCCGGTGGCCGCGGTGTCCGCCAGTCGCCATACGCGCAGAAGGCGGCCGGCCAGCATGGCGCCGCACTCCTGGGGACAGACGCACTGCACACAGAGGGTTAGCACACACTGGTTATCGTCCCATGACTCGTGAGTGGGATTAAGGAACTCATCAAATGATGCTGGCAACTCATGAGTCATGACAATACAGTTCCAGCCTTCAGGAATCAGGGCATGTGTAGAAATGGATGAATAAATGTGTGCACAAATTCCCAGACTTGTCCAGCAGTTGAACTACTTGTTCCAGACCTACTTGTCAAAACCAGCCATGCAAGTGAGGCCTAACTACTCTAGGTAGGTAGCCTCAGTCCCATTTCCCTTCCAAGTTCATTTTGAATGACAGACAGATTGAAAAGGCGTATATTTTCAATGACAACAAAGCGCTCAACATCTGCAACACAACAATCCCAAAATCATGACAGATCACTTTCAATTTGCACATATTCCATTAGCAAGCAATAACACACTATTGCTCTACACCACACAGCTTGCATAATTCAACTGTTAGCTAGCAGTCACTACTGATACTCACTAATACCACTAATTAGTCCATGTTGTCAAGTCATTGCTGCAATATGTGATGTGCTCACCATTGCCTTTCAGTACCTTGTCAGCCAAATACAAAAGCCCTGTGCCTCTCCATTAGCACTATTCCCGTTCTAAGCAGGATGGTTGGCAGCAGGTTGGTTTGCTGCAGTGGAACCACCAGTCTTCCCCTGGGGGTTGTGCTGGGCTTCAGGCTGTGGCCACAGCTCAGGGAACCCGGAGCAGCACACAGACTCTTTGCCCCATGTTCGACAGCACTCTTTCAGTCTGTCTATTTCTTCCTGACACTTATCTTCTTGGAACTTTTTACTGTTCAAACACTTTTGAATCTCACAAGCATATTTCTTACATGGGTCCTTCTTTGGCATTTTTAGATTGCTTTGTATGCATGTATTTATGCTGTAAACAAATAGCACTGTTACAAATAGTTACAGTGTTGATCTATGACAGATATTGGTCACAGACAACACCATATGAGTCCCTATCAGCTAATGAAGAGACACTGGGCTTTAGAGCTAGTCTAACTAGCCACTGAAGGCAATGGTTAGCACATACCGCCATGATACCGCTGCATCAGTGGGACTGATTTAGTGATTTAGTGTCTAGATCGGTACTTGTATCTCTTCATGATCTTAGGTGGTAACTTATATAGTTTCATGCTTAGATTTATACATTTTATAGGTATTAACTGCTGTTTTGATTTGGTCCCCAGTGACAATAAGTTGTCCAGTGTAATTTAATAAATGAATTCAGTTAAATTAATAGCGAGAATATCAAAAACATATCTATTAAATTTAATGCTTACATGCTTAAGACTTCAATTAGTTACAGTGCCAACTGCCAAGGACACTGGCCCCTTTTTACAGAATTTACCAATATCTGTTATTACGTAAGCTACATTGCCATTGACTATCTACTACTGTACAACCATGAGACATTAGACTATTCTATAAATCACAATGAATGACTGTAAGGTCAACCAATGTTTGAGTGCAGTCTTCCAACAGCAGAAAAAGAAGCGGAAGAGCAGGCGGACATTTAAATACATGTCATCAGTCATAGGGGACGACGGTGAAAACAGGGCGCCTGGGGCGATTTGATCAAGGTTCATGAAATTCACACGTGACGTTTAGCATGTAGAAGGCCATAGGTGGGCACGATCCGTTCCTTCTTCTTCTTCTACACGTCACGCCGTGGCCGCCGGGGCGGCCACGGCCGTGGCAGCGTCGACCGGGGGGTCGACACGGCCCACCCGCCGCAGGTACTCGAAGATGAGAGTCGCTGATCCGCCCAGCACATGCCCCAGGCTCGGCAGAGGTCCGCCCCACAGGCGGGACCTCATGTGGGCGTACGCTGGGCATTCGGTCAGCAAGTGTGCTACCGAGTCTTCCTCCTCGCAGTTCAGGCAGTCGGGGTTTGTCGCAAGACCGATCTCGTGGAGAGTCTTCCTTGTGAGCACTGATCTTCCCACTCTCAGTTGAGACAGTGTCACCTGCTCCCACCTGGTCAAGTCCTCGTGTCCGGGCGTGGGTGGTAGGTGAGGATGAGCTTTGGCTCGGGCTGCGGTCCACTCGGCGGATCTGTGGCGTATCGCCGCTCGGGCGCCGGCCATGTCCAGCGGGACCGCTGCCTGGCTTAGCTCTGCCGCGGCTCGGTTGGCTAGCCTGTCGGCGTCCTCATTACCAGGGATGCCAGCATGCCCCGGTACCCACTGGAGGGTGACGTGCTTCCCGGAGCACGTGAGGTCGTGGAGAGAGGCCCAGATGCTCGCCGGTAGCTCCTCCAGTTGGGCTGCCTGCCCGCGCTGGAGCGTCTGTAGACACGCCCTGGAGTCGGTGCAAAGGCGGATCTCCTTGATGGCGTCTAGGGAGTCGGCCGGCAGGCTCGCCAGGGACTTCAGTGCCTCCCGGACTGCCACCAGCTCCGCCCTGGTGCTGCTGCAGTGGGTGCCTGCAGCTGCCAGGCACTCGATCCTGCGGTCGTTCTCCCGGTGTAGGATAATGGCCGCTCCTCCTCCTCCGTTGGACGTGCCTCCGGCCGCCGAGCCGTCACTCCATATGGAGCAGTCTGGCGCGGGCAGGGCGGCCAGGGCGCGCTCTGCCGCCTCTCTCCTCTTGTCAGGTGGGTCTGTCCGCCGCGTGGTGGTTGGTAGGTCCACGATGAAGGTCACTGACCCCTGATGGGCCGACCACGGCGGCTCCGGTGACACCCTCAGGAACGGCTCCGCTGGGCAGCCCGACACTCCCGCCTCCTTCAGAGTCCACTGGCCCACTCTGCGTATGCATGGCTTGTGGGGCAGCAGGGCGTCTTCATCCGGCGGGGCTGGCTCCGGTCGTCCCTCCTCGGCAGCTTGAACGCAGGCCCGTTTCCAGGCCTCGTGCGCGCGGTACTTGAGGCGAGGTCGGGGGTCTCGTTCCAGCAGCTGCTTGGCTCGGTCTTCCGCTGGCAGGCGGACGATGCGGCTGGCTTCGGTAGCTGCCAGTTCCTTGGCCCGTACTGTCAGGGCGGGGAGGTCCGCCTCCGCCAGCAGAGCCGCTCTGTTAGTCGGGAGGATGCATCCGGTGATTATGCGGGCACACCTGTTCTGCTCAGTTTCGATCTTGACGCGCAGGGCGGGGGAGGCGTGAGTGAAGTACACCGCCGCACCGTACTCGAAGACCGATCTGATGTAGGTGATGTAGGCCGTTCGGAGAGTCCTGCGGTGCGCTCCGTAGGTCTTCCCCGCGAGTGCTTGCAGGCACTGTCTGCGCTTCGCCATCCTGTCCTTGAGGGAGGAGATGTGGCTGCTGAAGGTTAGCTGGTCGTCGAAGGTGATGCCCAGGAAGGTCGGGTTCGGGTCGTACCTCAGAGGTTCTCCTGAGAACTTCAACGTCGGTACCACCTTGCCTCCGCACTCCTTTGGGTCGAGGGTGAAGGTGGTGAAGCAGCACTTGGATGCGCTCGCCTGCACCTTCCAGTCCCGGGCCCACGACGCGACTGTGTCCAGCGCTGGTTGCATCTTCGCCGCACATGACTCCAGAGACGGTCCCGTGGCCAGGATGGCGACGTCATCGGCGAACAGAGACCAGGTAGAGTCGTTTGGGGCGTTCTTGTCGACATCGTTGATATACACCAGCCATAGTATGGGCGCGAGCACCGAGCCTTGCGGTAGGCCCTCTGGAAAGACCCTCCAGTCTGATGTGCTGTTGCCCCACCTGACCCTGGCTCTCCGATCGCTCAAGAAGTTGCGGAGCCACTTGACCGCGTGTGCAGGCACTCCCAGGCGGCCCAGCTTGGCGAGAAGGGCGTCTCTCCACACCCTATCGTAAGCCTTCTGGAAGTCTAGCAGGGCAAGGACCGCACGCTCCGGCTTCGGCTTCTCGAAGGCGTCGAAGACGGACTGAGTGACTCTGATGATCTGGTCCATGGTCGAGTGGAGGCGCCGGAATCCCGCTTGGTTGGTGTTTATCAGTTGTCGGTCCTCGAGCCAGTACTGCAGCCTGTTCTGGACCATTCTCTCGAAGAGCTTGCTGGTGCAGCTGAGCAGCGAGATGGGCCGGTACGAGTTCGGGTCTGCTGGATCTTTTCCTTTCTTCGACGATCCGTTCCTCCGTTCCTCCGTTCCGGAACGCCGTTACAATTTTTAGGAACGGAGGAACGGACTCGTTACATATTAAAAAGGGTAACGGACCAAGTAACTTCCGTTACATTGGTTGTTCGTTCCTCCGTTACACTTTACACGGGCGTAGGAACGTCATGAAAAGTGGGTGGGCCACCCTGTCAAGGGGCCTCCTTTTCCAGGGGGCCTCCTATTTTCAGGGGCCTCCAACTTTTGCCTCGTCCTGCTGGCTGCTTTCAAGTATGACCTCCAAATCTAGCTTCTGAGCTCGCTCGGGCAGATGTACCCAGGGGCGTAACCGCTTAAGCGAACAGTGCGGAAAGTCCGCGCACCATTTTTAAAACTTATTCCCCTCCGATTTTTTTAGAATCTATTTGCCGCAAACGGCGCATGACCCCTGAAAACCCTTACACAAATGTCTTCCTCGTTTCCCAGGTGCCCCCATTAGCTTCATAGGCGCCCTCTTTGGCATATAAGCGCCCTATGTATAGTCATCAGAGACATCCCTATATGTCCCACAGTCGCCCCGTTGTCGCATACAATGTGCGCTTATCATAGACGTCTCTCTTTTATGGACACTTAAAGGCGCCTCTCTTTGCCATGCCGGCGCTCCTGTTTCTTATGAATGCACCCCCAGGCCCCATGGCATTGATCAATTGCAGTCTGCAGATCTCTTTTGCATGTGGACGCCCATATATGTAGGCTTCAGAGGCGCCCCTCTTTCGCATTGAGGCGCCCCTATGGGCTTCATAGGCGCCCCTCTATTGCACGTAGGTGCCCTACTGTCTCAGAACCGCTCCCCTTTGGCATGCAGACGCCCATCTTTCGTACGGAGGAGCCGCTGTGGTTCTTAGAGATTAGACTTAGAGGTGCTCCCAGACGCAGATGGGGCTCTCGGAGTCGACAGTGTGGGACCTTCAGTCGCTGATGGGTGCCCACCAGATGTGGACCCTCGGAGACGCCGGTATGGGGCCCTCAGAGATGCCGGTATGTGGCCCTTAGAGACACCGGTGTGGAACCCTCAGATACTTCAGTGTGAAGCTCTTACAATTGCTGGTGTGGAGCTATGAATGCGCTGGCTTAAATCGCTCAGAGGCCGGTACATGGACATTATTTAGAGCTCAGTGAGAGCTTGTGTGGTGCCTTCAGTGGCCTTGTGGAGCCGTTAGACATCAACATGGTGCTCTCAGGAGCCGGTGAGTCCTCGGAGTCACTGGGGGCCTTCAGAGCTCCGAGATACTGGTGTGGGGCCCTCAGAGGTGTCGGTGTGGGTCCTTCAAATGTACCTATAGAGCCTTGAGATGCACAGGTGTGGTGGCCCACAGAGGCGCCGGTGTGGGGCCCCCAGAGCCACCGATATAGGGCCCTAAGAGACACTAGTATGACCCTCAAAGGCGCCGCTGTGTGGCGCTCATAAACACTGGCGTGGAGCCACCACAGGCGGGTGGAGCCGTTAGAGGCCGGAAAGGGCCCTTAGCCCGCGCCCTGGTGGGGGGGGGGCTATTTTTTGCCCCCCTCCAGACTTTTTGATATATCTCCAGAACCGCTGCGCCGATCGTCACCAAACTTTCAGCACCCTCCCGGACATCAATTTTACACATTGTGACCAAAAATTTTTCCAAAGGCTATGATAGGTTGGCCGGAAATGACGTCAGAGTGACGTCATGTTCTGCCGTTTTCGACCCAAAAAAGGGTTTCGCGGGAAGAGCTGTCAGGCCTATAGCTTTGCAAATACAGAAAAATGATAAAGACATAAAAGCTGTAGAATCAGCAGGGCTACAAAACTGCCATCTCGGATTTTTGAAATTTTTGGATTTTGACCCCCAAAAATCAAAAAATAATTTTTTTTCATATAATAATCGAAAAATCCAAAAAGTTTTTTTTATTTCGCAAAAACCGGAACATATGTGATAGTCCTTACCGCCTTCCATCCACATACCAAATTTTAGATCGATACCTCTTTTTTTGGCGAAGTTATAGCGAAAAAACTGTTCAAAATTGATGACGTCAAATTTTTAAACTCAATTTTTAGCAATTCTAGACCCCGTAGCGCAAAACAAAGACCACCATTAGACTCCCCGTGACGAGCTGCATCGAATCAATACCCATTTTATGCAAAACTATCAACTTTAAAATTTGACCTTTTTTGGCCTGACCTTGACCTGACCTTGACCTGAACTTCAACAGAAAGTGACCTAAGCCGTACCTGATAGTCTTATAACCAATACCATTGAGTTGGAAATGAAAAATTGGCCATAAAACATGCATCTTAAAACATGCAACCTTAGTAAAGTTGGGCTCATGTGACCTGACCTGTGACCCTTGGTGACCTGACCTGTGACCTGACCTGGTATTGTCAGTGACCTCTAATAGTAATATATCTACTAGGCAACTGACGCCCTATCGCTGATTCTCGACAAAATGCGTTTTCCTCGGTGTTATAGCGCATTCCCTAGAAGACCCGTGAACGGTGAAACATTTCATCTTTGACCTGACCTGTGACGTCATCAGTGACCCCGAGGTCAATGAAATTTGGTTTTCCTCGACAAATTTGACAGGCCTTTCGAACGCCGTTTGAATTTTGCGGATCCGTCCAGTAGTTTCGGAGATACGAGGGGGGGGGCAAAAAATAGCCCCCCCCCCCACCAGGTCGCGTTATAAACAGACCCCACCAGGGCGCGGGTAGATGCCTACAAGGAACCTTCAGAAGCCGGCGTGGCATCCTTATGGGAATAAGTGTGTCTACTTAGGAGCCCTTGAGGTGCTCTCATGAGCTCTGTGGGGCCCTACCGAGCCGTAATATGGCCACGGCCAGTTGCCGCCGCATGGCTCTTCGGACTATCATTCTCAGGGGCCTCATCTGCCTAGTTTGAATAGAAGGGCCTCTCAGACCATCAGTCTCATGGGCCTCCTCTGGCTAGTATAAATAGAAGGGCCTGTTAGACCATCAATCCTAGGGGCCTCCTCTGGTTAGTATAAATAGAAGAGCCTCTCAGACCATTAATCTCAGGGGGCTCCTGTGGACAGTATAAATAAAAGGGCCTCTCAGACCATCAGTCTCGGGGGCCTCCCTAGAAAAGTGTAAATGTGGATAGAGGGCCCCCTCAGATTCATTAGGAGTGGACCTCTCTGACTATCAGTCTCAGGGGCCTCTTGTGGCCAGTATGAATATAAGAGCCTCTCAGACCATCGGTCTCAGGGGCCTCTTCTGACTAGTGTGGATAGAGGGCCCTCCCAGACCACCGCTTTCAGGGGCCTCCAGTGGCCAGTTATATGAACAGAAGGGCCTCACAGCCATCAGCCTCAGGGGCCTCTTCTGACTGGTGTGAATATGAGGGCCTCTCATACCATCAGTCTCAGGGGCCTCCTCTGCCTAGTGTGAATATAAGGGCTTCCCAGGCCATCAGTCTCAGGGGACTCTTCTGGCTGGTGCCGGATTGAGGGACCTCCTAGACCGAAAGTTTTGGGGGTCTCCTCTGGCCAGTATGACTAGAAGGGCCTCTCAGTCCATCAGTCTCATGGGCCTCTTCTGCCTGGTGTGATTATAAGGGCCTCTCAGGTCATCAGTCTCAGGGGCCTCCTCTGACTACAGTGTAGATGGATAGGCCTCCCAGACCATCAGTCTCAGGGGCCTCATCTGACTATTGCGGATAGAGGGGCCTCCTCTGACTAGTGAGGGTAGGGGGCCTCGGCTAGACCGCCAGTGTCAGGGGCCTATTCTGACTAGTGTGGATGGAGGGGCCTCCCAGACCACCAGTCTCAGACACCTGACTAGTGTGGATAGAGGGGCCTCCCAGACTGCCAGTGTCAGGGGCCTCCCCAGACCAGTGTGGATATTGGGGCCTCCTCAGATCCACTAGGGCCTCTCAGGCCATCAGTCTCAGGGGCTTCGACTGACAAGTATGAACAGAGGGCCTCCTTGGATCTATCACGGCCCCTTGGAGTCCGTGCGTGGGGATTCGTGGAACTTATTTTTACGGAGTTTGTTTATACTGGAAGGTGACGACGTCCTCTCAAATCGAGACGAGGGGCCTCGAGTAAAAAGTGGGTGGGCCAAAACACATGGTTGGCCCCCCCACCTCGAAAAGTGGGTGGGCACTTGCCCACCTGGCCCCCCCTGTTCCTACGCCTATGACACTTTACAGTTTGGTCCGTTCCTTCGTTCCTCCGTTACTTTTCGTTGTCCGAGCGGGTTGATCTTTCAGCTAACCCACAGACGTCAGACATTAATGCAGCAGCGGAATAGTGGATTATTGAACAGCCCTGACTTGAAGAAGGAAGATGCCCTTAGTTACTGGCCTTCCGAAATGAGCCGGCGTTGCCAAGGCCATTTATAGAAGGCACAGTCACTCTCCCGCCGACCAATCAGAGACAGATCCTGAGTGACGTCACCCCTGATGCTCGAGGGTGTGTATCAAATGTACCCAAGTACAATCGGACCCAGAATCCAACGGGACCCAAGATTCATAAGTACCCAGGTGCCTCAGGCTATACGGAAGTACCATAGCGACGTTGGGTCCCAAGGTCCAAGGTTGCCAGAATATGATTGGCTGAGCAGGCAGACCAATCGAACGAGCTGTTAGAAACTACTGTACCTCAGTACACTCTCTGACAGTGGGCAAGTGTGGTGAAGAGTTCGCATACCAAAGTGACCCTTCCGGAGGACCGGCGGCCGGCGCCCAGTCAGGTAACAATGGGAAGGGTCGGAGGGACGGCCCGCCGCGCCGCACGGTGACAGCTGATTCCCGGGACGCTCAAGTGTCGCCTGTCAGACGCGTCGCCTGCCTCCCCCCTCCCGCCCCGCCGAGCCGCACAAAGCAGCCGGACCCTGTCGCGGAACGAACCACCTGACCATGCTGTCATCATCGGCGGCGAACTGAACTGAATGTCTTTCT